CAGTACTGTAGCGTCAACGTCAGATAGACTACTGTAGCGCCAACGTCAGACAGACTACTGTAGCGTCAACGTCAGATAGACTACTGTAGCGCCAACGTCAGACAGACTACTGTAGCGTCAACGTCAGACAGACTACTGTAGCGCCAACGTCAGACAGACTACTGTAGCGTCAACGTCAGACACACTACTGTAGCGTCAACGTCAGACAGACTACTGTAGCGCCAACGTCAGATAGACTACTGTAACGTCAACGTCAGACACACTACTGTAGCGTCAACGTCAGACAGACTATTGTAGCGCCAACGTCAGATAGACTACTGTAACGTCAACGTCAGACAGACTACTGTAGCGCCAACGTCAGACACACTACTGTAGCGTCAACGTCAGACAGACTACTGTAGCGCCAACGTCAGATAGACTACTGTAACGTCAACGTCAGACAGACTACTGTAGCGCCAACGTCAGATAGACTACTGTAGCGTCAACGTCAGACAGACTACTGTAGCGCCAACGTCAGACACAGTACTGTAGCGCCAACGTCAGACAGACTACTGTAGCGTCAACGTCAGACAGACTACTGTAGCGTCAACGTCAGACAGACTACTGTAGCGCCAACGTCAGACAGACTACTGTAGCGTCAACGTCAGACAGACTACTGTAGCGCCAACGTCAGACAGACTACTGTAGCGCCAACGTCAGACAGACTACTGTAGCGCCAACGTCAGACACACTGCTGTAGCGCCAACGTCAGACACACTGCTGTAGCGCCAACGTCAGACACACTACTGTAGCGCCAACGTCAGACACACTGCTGTAGCGCCAACGTCAGACACACTACTGTAGCGCCAACGTCAGACAGACTACTGTAGCGCCAACGTCAGACACACTGCTGTAGCGCCAACGTCAGACACACTGCTGTAGCGCCAACGTCAGACACACTACTGTAGCGCCAACGTCAGACAGACTACTGTAGCGTCAACGTCAGACACACTGCTGTAGCGCCAACGTCAGACAGACTACTGTAGCGCCAACGTCAGACACACTACTGTAGCGCCAACGTCAGACACACTACTGTAGCGCCAACGTCAGACACACTGCTGTAGCGTCAACGTCAGACACACTACTGTAGCGTCAACGTCAGACACACTACTGTAGCGTCAACGTCAGACAGACTACTGTAGCGCCAACGTCAACGCTTTTATTGAACTAACTCGTATTTTGGTTATGCCAATATTGTCATCCACCTACAACAGTAAGTAATTTGTACTTTGGTCAGGGAGGCGATGACACTGCCGGTCACATACACGTATTGTACTCACAAATATACACGTCATGTTCCGAGACACAAATAACGAGGAGCATGATAACACACTTCATACATTCACTGAGTATAGATGAGTATACACCGAGTATATACTGAGTATTTTCTTAGTATACACTGAGCGTAAGTGTATTTTCACTCCTGAGTGATTAGAAATACATTCACTCACACCCTCTCTCAAAGATTCACACACACACACACACACACATACGCACACACACACACACACCACACACACACACACACACACACACACGCACACACACACACACACACACACACACACACACACACACACACACACACACACACACACACACACACACACACACACACACACACACACACACACACACACACACACACACACACACACTCACACTCAGGAAGTGATGTGGTGGAGGCTGACTCCATACACAGTTTCAAGTGTAGATATGACAGAGCCCGATAGGCTCAGGAATCTGTACACCTGTTGATTGACGGTTGAGAGGCGGGACCAAAGAGCCAGAGCTCAACCCCCGCAAACACAACTAGGTGAGTACAACTAGGTGAGTACACACACACACACACACACACACACACACACACACACACACACACACACACACACACACACACACAATAACTAACCGTAGGTGTAACAGCTCACTCACGGCTACAAAAACACACCACAACAGTTTAAATGATCCGAAGATATGCAGCAAAGGTCATTCCTGAGCTGGAGGGCTTAAAATACGAGGAAGGACTGAAGGAACTAGATCACACTTAGGGGAGAGAAGAAATTTGGGAGGACATGATAACGACATAAAAAGTCCTTCCCCCTTAAAAAAATAGACAAGAAAGCAAAGAAAATGTTCACAGTGATGATCTCTTTAGTGTAAAAGTTGGATTTGAAGAAGTACCTGAAGCTCACACAATTAAAAACGTCAAATTTACACGAACAATTAAATAAGAAAGAAGTCGGTGCATTAAACTGTCAATAGACTGTAAGCTGGAGCTCTGGAACTAGTGCTTGATCATGCAGCCCCAATTTGACGAGTACACACAAACCACATGCACACTATCACACTCTGTCCACTAATGTTTCGTCACGAGTGCTTGAACTCAGCTTGAGGTCGGCTCATTCCCCCAAACATCGACGACAAAATAGAGGAAGAGAGAGTGAGAAAGAAGAGCAAGAGATGGAGAGAGAGAGAGAGAGAGAGAGAGAGAGAGAGAGAGAGAGAGAGAGAGAGAGAGAGAGAGAGAGAGAGAGAGAGAGAGAGAGAGAGAGAAAGAGAGAGAGACGGATGGTGAGAGAGAGCGAGGGGGGGTGAGGATGAGGAAAAGTGAGTGAGGGAGAGAGGAAGAGACGAAAGAAAGAAAGAGAGCCTGTTTAAAAAGGGAGAATGAGGACGGTAGAGTGATGGAGGGAGAGAGGCTGGGAATAAAGGAATAAGCGAAGAAAGAATGATAAGAGAAATGCAAGCAGGAAGGGAAGGCAATGTGAGTGAGGGAGGGAAAACTGAGGACTTGATCAAGTTGATCTAGTTAGCGTCACGCCTCGTTAACTCAGGTCAAGGATCTTGAGCAAGGTTCAAGGATCCACAACTTGATCAAAGCCTTCTAAAAAAAATGAGGAAATACATTACCGGCAAAATTTGGTATTTCTTACGTTTCTTCTCATCTCTCCTCTTTCTTCATTTCCTTGTTCAACTGTTTATTTGCTGTTAACTGTTATTTTTGTTCGTTTATCTCATCCATGTGAACTTCATTTTTTACTTTCGATTATTTATGAAGTACCAAATAATAAAAGTTATACAATTTATGCACAAGAAAACACGGATAGCAGTGTCTGGCATACATTAGATCCTCATACAACATACAGCAAGCATTCATGCAGCATACAGCAAGAATTATTGCAGCATACAGCAAGCATTCGGGCAGCATACAGCAAGAATTCATGCAGTATACAGCAAGCATTCACTCACCATACAGCAAGCACTAGGACAGCATACAGCATATAGCAAGAATTCATGCAGTATACAGCAAGCATTCACTCACCATACAGCAAGCACTAGGACACCATACAGCTAGCACTAGGACAGCATACAGCAAGAATTCATGCAGTATACAGCAAGCATTCACTCACCATACAGCAAGCACTAGGACACCATACAGCTAGCACTAGGACAGCATACAGCATACAGCAAGAATTCATGCAGTATACAGCAAGCATTCACTCACCATACAGCAAGCACTAGGACACCATACAGCAAGCACTAGGACAGCATACAGCATACAGCAAGCACTCACTCACCATACAGCAAGCACTAGGACAGCATACTGCAAGCACTCACTCACCATACAGCAAGCACTTGGACAGCATACCAACAATATGCTTATCCTCATCCCTACCACCACCTTATACCCTATCCTAATCCTACCATCAATTTGTCATTGCTGTGCCATCACAATGCCATCACTCTGCCTTTACCCTACCCCCACCCTACCACCACACTATCAACATTCTACCACAACAACTACCACAAATCTACCACCACCCGGCGACCACCCAACTACCACCTTTCCTTCACCCTGCAAAGATTGCACCACCACCCTAACAACCACATAATCAACACCCTACCACCACTCTACTACCCCCCCCCCCTACCACCACCCTACCACCACCACTACATGCCAATCCACTTTTCCTGATAACAGGTTTTCGCACAATAGTCTCTATGGCCTGGATTCGAACCCCTGGTCCTAACTTTCCCTGTTGCATCGCATCCCACCCATTGTGGCGGGCGAGCCACCCTCCACTGTATCTTGTTGGCCCAATTAACCGAACTGTTGCTTGTGTTACCTTTATTGACTGTAATTATGTGCATAAATGGTCGATAGAAGCGAAGATATTGTATTGGCGCTGGGCTTTGATTCATCACTGGTGAATACCATTATATTAATGGTATAATGAATCATTATACTATTAATATAATGGTGGTGATAATCATGTTTACAATGGTGGCTATAATAGGGATGATGATGATAATTACTATTTTAATTATGATGTATATAATTGTAATGTTAATTACAATGATGACAATGAAAACGATATTTGTTTTCCTATAATAATAATAATTTGAACAATAATTATAATTATTAATTATTTGTATTGTTATTAATTATTTTTTACGTCACTCATTGAAGTTGAGAAGTTGCAGCTGTGCATCTTGCTGCTCCGCACAGTTGAATTGTATGAAATTATACTGAGAAGTCTTGTATATTATTCTCCTTTTATACACAAGATCTTGCAATTGTTGAAGTGTCTAAATTATTATTATTATTATTATTATTATTATTATTGCTATTAATTTTTATAAAATAAATATAACATTTTTATACCAATAATTAATATTATTGGTTTAATTATTACAATTATTATTATTTTCGATGGACGTATACTATTTTACAATTTTCACTTTACTTATTACTTGGTAAATTTCTCCCGTTCATACACTCACTAATCTCTCATTCACTGTCACTTTCTCTTGCCATGTTCTCTCACTCGCCACCTTCTCTGTCTCACAATCTCTGTACTTTTTCTCTCACCACTTTATCCCTTACCCACTAGTCTCTATCTCTCACTTTTTATACTCTTTACTTGTTAATCGTCGTAGATCTGTTTCTCACTTACCTCTTATGGCATCTGCTGTGGCACTGAGGATGAGGATGACTAAGAGGCACTGAAGGATGGCACTTGCGTGCATCCTGCTTCTATCTTCCCTATCCATACACCAAGTAATTTCCAGCCTTAAGGAAGTGTCAAGTTGGCACTCCTGTTGCTTGAGGAAGTGCCAGACTTGAGACGGCACTACGGCTGTTTGAGGAAGTGTCAAGCTTGAGACGTCACTTCAGTTGCATGTGAGAAAGTACCAAATTGCAGTCATTTACTCCTCGGCTGACGCTCGTTATAAGGTTGTAAATAGCTAAAGCACCCAAGGAGTCTGATGAACGCCGTTCGAAAGATTACTGACTCTTCGTGAGATGATTGACAACAAGCGCTGGGCGAATGGTGGCTGATGGCAAGATATGTTAAGGGAGAGAAATTCTTAATTTTGTCTTGTTCTTGGTTTTTAACCTTCCTCCAGTTCTTGATCTCGTTTACACTCTTCAAGTTCTTTCTCCAGGCTCTTGTTCTTACTTCTGTTCTTGCTTGGATCACGACGGGGGGAAGGATCCTGGGAAAGTCTTCTACGTGTTGCTAAGATATCTGTCACTTGAGACAGCGTCAGTATGTCTGCTTTTCTTTATTGACAGATCTGGCTTCTTACATTTGTCCTTGAGAGAAAAGCGATCTTTAGAGTTGCTACACACAAGCTTCGATCTTCCGGTATCTTTCCCAATTGGTATTACACTTTGTTAGTTTACTAATTTGCTGACAAAACAAGATTGTAATCGTTTTTAACATCAGGATCCACTAGTGATTCACCTATTTCAAATATAATCAAGTTATTGTAAGCATCCCATCTTACTGAGTAATCTCGAGCACAAATGTTGCACCGTCTGGTTAAGTCGTCGTTAATAATGGCCACTTTTTCTGGACGACTGACGACGGAGCTTCACTGGACGAGTTGGCTGAAGATGCTAAAGAGAAGCGCCACGACAAAGGTCACACAAAACGAGTGGATAACGAGACACACTACACAAGTTCGTTGATCGTTTTAAGCTCCCTGACCTCAGGAATTACTCTGATTAGACGAACCACTTCCTAGACACCGACGAGGATGGTGGGTGGTGGAAGCGACGCTCTGGTGTGTGAGAGAGAGATGAGAGATGAGAGAGATGAGGGATGAGAGAGAGAGAGAGAGGGGTCTGCGGTCCAACGTGCGCACCAGACGGCAGATCCTCCACTACTGAGGGTTTGCATCTCACTCCTCGACACTCTCTCTTTCACACACACATATATACGCGTTCGCACACACACACGAACGCAGACAAATCAGGCGTACACCTACACACTCTCTCCTAGAGCGTTCACCACACCCAGAGGTACACAAGCGCACCCACACTTGACGCCTTCGTGAACACTCTTTCCTTCAACCTCGTCACGGTTTCAGAGTCAAAATATGCTAATTGATGTTCCAATCTGGGTATCTGGTTTGTATTCGAAATCTCGTTTGGATGCAATGAACACACACCGAACGGGGTCCCGAGAACCGCTATGTATCATCCGGGGAATTATTCAAGCAAATGTGTTAACTTAGTGACTCTTCATTTGACTCTGTTGGTATGGGCTCCTGGTAGATGGCCTTCCTCAAGGTCAGGCTGTGATATAAAACGGGACATGTTTTGTGCTCCCTTAGTAAAGATCTTTGCTGAAGGAAATTCCTAAATAAGTACGGATTTTGAAAATATACTTTCGAGAGTCAACCTGTGTATAGAGTCTAAACAAATATATATAATAGAAGTATTATTTTTTTTTCAAATTAGACAATTTACTTATGGTTTTTAATATAATGAATATCAGAGATGTAAAAAGAGCTGAATGTTTTGCAATCACGACTGAAAATTGATAATGGGGCACCAATGATAATGTATGCCGACAAGACTCTTCTGAAAGTTTTGCGTCTCAGCTATGTCAATATGCATGGTCACTCTAAGATATAAGAGGCCTTGGAAAGTGAAATTATGTCTAGAAGACCTTGAAAACGTTAAGCTAAGAAAGTTTAATCTTAAGTATAAAAAGCTAAAAAGAAAGTTTAATCTTAGTATAAATTTAGGGAAAGAGCATAAGAAATGAACCCGGATGTAATTGGACTCACAGAAATAAAGCTCTCAGGAATCATAACGAATATGGTGTTTCCCAAGGACTACACTGTGATAATGAAAAAGAGGGAAAGAAGGGGAAGAGGTGGAGTGGCCCTACTAATGAGAAAGGAATGGAGTTTCAATTAGTTGGTTATCCTGGGCTGCGAGGGGTTCAGAAACTACATAACAAGTACCATGACGATTGGAGGACCAAGAGCAGTAGTAGCAGTAATATATAACCCTCCACCAAACGACAGAAGACCCAGGGAAGAGTGTTTCAGAAACAACATGGCAGTTAACACAATAATTGAAAGGGCAGTCTCTGCGGCCTATAGAAATTTCATCCCATCTGGTCATCATGGGGAACTGCAACCACGGAAGGATAGACTGGGAGAACAAGGAATCACACTGAGGTGAGGAAACATGAAAACCTAGAATATTGGAGGTGGCAACAAGAAACTTTTTAAGTCAGCATGTTAGGGAACCCACAAGAATGAGAGGCAACGATGAAGCAGCGAGACACGACCTAGTCTTCACTCTGAACGACTCTTACACAAGGGAAATCGGTTTCGAGGCCCCGGTGTGAATGGGCGATCACAGTGTACTCATATTTGAGTATCTGGTCGAAGAAAGGTTAATGAATTCAAGGAAGGGACCTGAAAACAAAAGCCTGGCATTCCGAACGGGAAACTATGAGGAGACAAGAGAATTCCTAACAGATATAACATGGGGAAACAGAGCGCAGGGGAAAGACGGCCCAAGACTTGATGGACTATATCACGCAAAAGAGTAAGGAGGCAGCAGACAAATTTGTCCCAGTCAAAAAGGAAAAAAAAAACGAAATGCAGACGAGAAACCCATGGTTTAATCAGAAATGTAATCTAGGAAATCAACAAAGCAGAAGGGCGTGAAAAAACTATAGAAAAAAACAACAATTGAGAGCAGAGAAAGATACCAGAGTGCCAGGAATGAATGAAATGACATCGCAAGTAAGGCAAAGACTCAACCTAAATTGCTGCACATACACATCAGGAGGGAAAAACAACAGTGAAGGAACAGGTAATGAAACTCAGGATAGAGGCAGACAGATTCACTTCAAACGAAAAAGAAGTGTGTGAGGAACTTCACATTAAAGCAAGAGAAGTTCCAAAGATAAGAGAGTGAATATCTAACCAGACACCACTAGAGAAGTTTGTGAGAACCAGTGGGGAGATAAGGAAGCATTTGATAGAGTTGGATGTGACAAAGGCTATAGACCCGGATGAAATCTCACAATGGATACTAAAGGAAGGAGTAGAAGCTCTGTGCCACCCAGTCTTAATGGTGAATAACAAATCACTGGTAACAGATGAACCGGCAAAAATTTGAAAGATGGCAAATGTAGTCCCGATATACAAGAGGTGGAATAGACCGGAGGCACTGAGCTACAGGCCAGTGTCCCTAACCTGCATTCCAAACAAATTGATGGAGATGATTGTGCGAAAAAAGCTAGCGGACCAGCTGGAGCGAAATAACTTTGCAACAGAACATCAGCATGGGTTCATGGAAGACAAATCATGTCTCAGGGTTAATTGAATTCTATGACCAGGCACCAAAAATCAGGCAAAAAAGAGAGGGGTGGGCAGACTACATATTTTTGGATTGCCAGGAAGTCTTTGACACAGTACCACACAAGAGACTAGTGCACAAGCTGGAGATGCAGGCAGGAGTAAAAGGGAAGGTACTCCATTGGATAAGGTAGTATCTAAGCAACAGAAGACAGAGAGTCACTGTGAGGGGGTGAGGTCTCAGTATGACGAGGCGTTAACAGTGGATTCCCACAGGGAACAGTCTGTGGACCTATACTGTTTCTAATATGTGTAAATGATCTCCCAGGGGGAATAGACTCGTTCCACTCAATGTTTACTGATACAAAAATAATGAGGAGGATTAAAACAGAGGAAGATCTTATGAGGCTACAAGATGACCTAGACAAACTGAAGGAATGGTCCAACAAATGGCTACTAAAGCCCAACCAACGTAAATGTTAGGTAATGAAACTAGGCGGTGGAAACAGGGGGGCCAGCAGACACAGGAAACAGAATGGGAGATGAAGTTCTTCACGAAACGGACAGAGAAAAACATCTAGGAGTTGATATAACGGCAAGCCTGTCTCCTGAAGCCCACATCAAAAGAATAACCTTGCAAGGCTGGATAACATCAGAACTGCCTTCAGAAACCTGAGTAAGGAATCCTTTAGAACCTTGTAAAACTCATATGTAAGGCCAATCCTGGAGTATGCAGCCCCAGCACAAAGCCCGTACCTTGTCAAGCACAAGACGCAGCAGAAAAACGTTCATCGGTATGTTACTAGCCATACCTATGAACCAGAACTAAGAGGCATGAGTTACGAGGAAAGGTTGCTTGAAATGTACCTCACGTTGCTGCAAGGCAGGAGAGCTCGGAGTGACATGATCACTAAATACAAAATCATCAGAGGAATTGATATGGTAGATGAAGATAAACTATTTAATACGGGTGATATGTTAACAAGGGGACACAAGTGGAAACTGAGTACCCAAATGAGCCACAGGGACGTTAGTAAGAACTTTTTCAGTGTCAGAGTAGTTAACAGATGGAATGCACTAGGCAGTGATGTGGTGAAGGCTGACTCCATACACAGTTTCAAATGTAGATATGATAGAGCCCAATAGGCTCAGGAATCTGTACACCAGTTGATTGACAGTTGAGAGGCGGGACCAAAGAGCAAAAGCTCCTTGGCTCTTTGACGCACGCACACACACACACACACACACAGGAGCTGGCCTGCCGAGCGGACAGCACGCTGGACACGTGATCCTATGGTCCTGGGTTCGATCCCGGTCGCCGGCGAGAAACGATGGGCAT